GTGGTACTAGTTTATATACGTAGCAGCCGCGACATTTAACTAGTTGAGTCACAGTGGTACGGCGATATTAAATATTATACTGATATAACACTAAATGCACGCACCGATCGATAATCATTCATTCGTTGGAAAGGAAACGAGTAAGATTCTATAATCTGCTATAATATCCCAACAGTTCTGCGGGATATATAAAAAAATTCACACAGCTGAGACACACATTTAACTTATTCGAAATACGCGTCACACAGCGCAACACAACAGCAGATACCAATTAAAGTGCCCGTTCAGTAACATGAGCCCAGCTTTACACAGCACAGCACACATCGCTAATCTATTACCCAATTTTGTCGCATCTCATGTACCTCAACTATGGATTTAGATGAATGAAAAATAAATAAATAAATTAATAGGACACGAAAATCGAGATAAACGAGTCATACACAATTCTTATACGCATCGAGTTCGATCAATACTATTAAATGAATAGATAAATCAATGTTCAAACTATATTAGAACATTACTGTGTGTTGCCTACACGAAAATACACGTACCGTAAAATTGCAGACTACATTTGACAACTACAATTATGAAAATACAGGAAAGAGAAAAATACAGAATAGAAGAGACATCAAATCGAAACTAATTCGATTGATCTACATCACAACAATATATTGAGAAACAACACTAAAAACATCTAAGTATATATTCGTATTAGTGAAATCTAAATCTATGTTACAACATCAAATCATGCATACAGGTATTGGATAAGGATAGTACGGTTAAATAATTTTATAATTTATTGACCGCAAACGGTCGTATTATAAATATATTATATATTTTTTTTAAAATTTCGTTTTAATCGTTTCATGCTTTCGATTTGTTCATAAACAGCCAATCGTTTCGACATAAATCGCGTTGTACGAAGAATGTTGTTGATAGCTCACCTTCGCGAATATGAACGAATCTGCAGGTAGGTCTTGAACATCCTTGCCGATTAAAATCTTGGCACACCGGGAGGGTGTCCAGTAACTGAAAACATACGGAGCATTTATTAGTATTTATTGTCATCATTCGGTACTTAACCATTAAACCGCGACTACACGTGTTTCCACAATGAAATCTGTTATTAACAACCAAATGTATGGGGTAACACAAAATACAGTAATGCAACAGTAATGCGACTGAGTATTAATTATATATTTTATATGTTCATTGCCTTATTCTGAAAACATTAGGCGTAGTACGCATTATCATAATTTTAAAGTAAATACTACAAAAAAAATAAAAACCAAAATTCATTATCATTGTGGAACACGATGTATAACATCGCGTACTAACTAAATACTACTTCACAAACAGTCGTACAAAAATATATTTTTTTATATTCAATTCTGCATAATGTACGAGACCTTTTCAATGAAGAACAGGGACGACGGTTCGTGAACTGTATGTTAATAGTGTTAATACTAGTTCTATTTCATCACTTTATAGACATTCATACATCGGACATTAAATATTATCCTCATTGCACAGCCATCTGAAAAACGACGCTCTCATAGTTTTTGTAATATCAAAGAGCATAATTTGAGACTAATGTATTTATATTATATTATTCAAGTGACAGCCCTGTATTATTATTATTATTATTATTAAAAGCGATCGTTTTAGTATCGGAGACGCGACGGCGATGGATGCGCGTGTGGCTTCTCGCTACGGACAGTCAACACAAACGGGACACACGGAATGCGGAACATTGCAATGAAAAAAAAAAACGTATTTATTTATATATATATCTCGTTGCTGCTTTCATATTACAATAACTTTACACGATTCGTTGCACAATATGATTGGAACTTCCAAGCATTCTTTATGGAACGTGCGCACCGTAATGTGTGTCACCTTTATATTGTACAATTCTCATTTGGAAACATCCGATGATCGAACGATCGAAACATACACGTGTCGCTTTTCGTTTTGGGAGAGATCGGCAGTTGTTCTCGTGAACGTGTTTCCGTAACCATCAGAGAGTTGTGTTAAATAACGCTGCACTATGCACATAGTAGGTATGAATATAATATCTAAATGGCATGCAGAACGCTTGAAGTAATCATTATTGCGCAGCCAATCTTATCGAAGCGTGACTATATTTTACATAAAAAAAAAGCTCAAAGCATGATGCTAGACAACTTTTACCAGGGCGGAGGGCGTTCTATAGGTTTGCAGCGTCCAAAGTGTACCCATAAATACCAACTGTTGCTATAAAGAAAGCTTTAAAGGCTGTGTGGGGGACGCTTCTGCGCCGCTGTTACATCTCCCGATGCTCTCAGTGTAGGACAGGGACGGTCATGCTCATCGACGGGAACGCGCAATGTAAAATACACATATTACATTTATACCTTTAGCTTACATGACAGTTCTGGACGTGACATGTTAGTGGTAGTACAAACTGCAACATAATGACAATTAGAGTGCTGTTACCGTACGGAAAAAACAAAACGGAACCGATCAAGTATATACGTCTACGTGGGTATTATAAGTAAGCGTCAGAAGTAGGCTTCAACAAGTCGTAAGCGAAGAACGGGGCCGCTCCGGCGAAGCACTTTAAGCAAAAGACAATTCGAAGTGTATATTGGTTAATTCAACTCTCCCACTAAACACACACCTAACAATATCATTAACAGGTTTATATTTTTGGTAATTTTAGGAACATTTCATTTTTATTAGACGGTAACGATATCACTTCGAGTTCTCTGGACTCCACCACGGTCATTTCAACTACCAACTACGCATAAAATAATAATTCTCCTTTAAAATTATTATAAAAAGCGTTACAATGAGTGGAAACAACAACCCCCTTATTAGCAGTTGATAGTTGACATTGGCAGAAGGTGAATCTCAAAACCGTTAACAAGTTGACGTCACAAGCGAACACTAAACAAAATAATTCTTGGAGTTTCTTTAAAATGAAAAATTCATACGTATTTTCTTTTCAAGTCAACTTATTAACAGATGGTAAAGGCTTCGTAATAGATATATATATATATATACACACATAAATATATATATCTATATATTTTTTTAATTATTAATTAATATACCTTTACTGAAACAGCCGCTCGATTAGAATTAGATTGTTAAAAGCTCATTACCAAAACAGCGTTTAGATCGGTCGTATTAATATGTAATTTTCTTTTGTTGATTTCATGCAAACATAAGCGGCGCGTTTCAATATAGGCGGACAAACAGGAAATCACTTAAAATCAGGATATTATAGTAAGCTGATTGAATCTTACCAGGTGTAAGCAAGGCAATACTGTAGAGTGACTTCTTCCACATTTGAAAGCAATTATGTTTCACTATACGAAAAAGGAAAAAAAAAAGAACAAAACAACTAAAAATCACCAAGTTGTAGCATCAACTGTTCCATTGTAATCACAATATTTCGATACAGTTATAGCCCAATGACTAAAATGATATGAATGATGGTGTCATGGTGGCAGGTGAAACGTCTCTGAGGTGACGCGCTCCGACCAATCGAGTTAGGCCGCGGATTGGCCACTGCAAAGTATACACATCCACTCACATCGATTCACACGGTTTTCACTTTCATCTCGATTTCAGAATGCGAACGTATTTGCCACTCGTTGCGGGTAAAGGAAGAATGTGCTTTAAATACGTGTCAAATTCAATTAGATTATTAGTTTCTCCTTTCCTTACGATGCGTGTCTTCAGGTTAAATAACAAAGTCAATTACCGAAGCGTACCTTGACCCGAGGCAGTGAAGGTGGCGGCGGATGGAATAGCCTCTAGTCGTGATCATTCCGTCCGGACACAGCTCGTTAATGACAAGCGCTCGGTCTACTTACTAAGCACAAAAGCGTTGTGAAATTAAACTTACGTCTATAGAAGCAGTATAATAAGCACGCTCGAATTCATTTTATATATCGCTCGTGAGGTTCTCTAAGCGTTTCAAAAACAACAACATAATGATGATAAATGTTTATTTAAATATTATGTCACATTAGGCCAACCGTATCTATCTACTGTATTTACGAATGAGTTACATGACAAGTCAGTAACGCAAAGAATGATCTGAGCTTAGAAATAAGAACAAGCGTTGGTTATATAGTAGCGCGGCAAGAGGTGGTATGTTGCATAGCGTAATGGTTAGAGCAAGACGAGGGAGCACTGTCGCAGCTCAGGCGGTCAGGATGTGATGCTACATGCGAACGATTCGTTGTACGTCGACCGGCGACTCTTGTCTAGTTCGCGCATATCACCGTCCTAGTTCACAGTTCATTCCGTTTCTCAGACGTCACATCGGAGTCAGCGTCAGTCGCGCGATAGTTCATTTATTTAAATAAATCTTAGAACTGTGAACAAGCGATGGCGTTGTCAAGGTGTAGAGGAAGGTGAGACGCAAGCGGGGGAGGGGCGGGGAGACACGCGGCACACGTTACCTGTCCGCGCTCGTCCGTATACACCACATATGGCGCGTTGGGAGGCGTACAGCCTGTCCGATCCGACACATAAAGCAACAATACATTTGTTATGCGGACGACAGCCGAAGCGATCATTCGGAAGGCATGTAACAGAAAGCGTTTAAAGTGAAATAAACAAGTGCCACTGAAAGAAAAGAGAGAACAGCGCTCGCCGCTCTCTCTATGCACTACTGATGAAACACTCTGGCACACGCAGCACACACGAGGAGCACTAGAATAATGAGAGTAATACCTGAAGAGCCAAACGTACAGGGGTGGTGGATTCTATTCCATGCGAAAATTAGAAGGCGGCTGTGTTAGGTGCGGGCTTGCCGCCGCAAGCCGGTAACCACTAGGTAGGTACGGGATCGACACATCGGCCAAAGCGCACCCGTGCGGAGCTCCTCCGGGAGCAAGCGTGTACGTAGCGGGATCCACGGACCAAGCGCTCAACTCTCAGCACGACCCTACTCACGGTAAACGACGATCGACAAGAGGTAATAAAAAAACGTACAGTCATGCATCTCAAGCGTTATTATTACCGGGATACGAGAGTAGATACGAGAAATATACACGCACAGAATATCGACCTAAGTCGTAAGTGAGCGAATACACAATAATATAGATACAGCATAAAACTACAGAGACATCCGCGAGGGCACGGGCCGCTCGCTTCGTCCTCACAATAATACAATACAAATGTGACAACACCCCTAGCGCTAACCGCCCCGACAGGCCGGGACGGGCCACTCGGTGGCACACGTGTGAGTCTCTACGCGGAGACCCCGCGCTCGCGCCCCGCCGGCCGCGCACCTCTCTACGTGGTCTTCATCTTTTTGTAAGGATTAACGGCAGCCGCCGCCGCCGCTGCAGCGGCCGCTGCTGAAGGCGGGGCCGGGGGCGGCATCGCGTACATGTACGGCTGCTGATAGAACGCAGGCATCTGCATGGGCGGCCCGGGCCATCCCGGACGGACCATCAGCGGGGCGCGCATCAACGCCGGCATTGAAGCGCGTGCCTTCAGCGCCTGTTGCGTGTACGCGGCCGCCGCCTGAGCCATGGCCGAATGTTGAGCGGCAAAAGCGAGTGCCGCCATGTAGTTCTTCTGAGCGACCTCTTTGGCAACGGCGGCCGGGTCCGTTCCGTCCGGGTGTACAGAACCAGCAGTAGCTTGCGCCGCCGAGGGAGAGGGCGGCTGCGGCGGCGGCTGAGCGGGCGCGGGCGCGGGAGCGGGCTGCGGAGCGGGAGTGTGCGCGGGCGGGAGTGCAGGCGCGGACGCAGGCGCCGAGGGAGGCGCGGCGGCCGCGACCGGCGGGGCGGACGTGGCGGGCGCGGGGTACTCACATGACACGGGCACGAACGGCTGCTGGAGCTGCATCAGTTGCTGGTAGGTTGTCGCCGGCTGATACACTGGTACACCAGCTTTGTCGGCAGCCGGTCGCTTGTACGGCACCACGCCGGGGAAGGCCTGTAAAGACAATTAGAAACCATTATTCTTAGATCAAAACTTAGTCTAGACCGCAGTCGATAGGTACAAACTAGGATACTTACAAAGTTATCATAATAGAAGGAACCGACGCTCTTCATGTCCATCTGAAACGAGAAACAAACAGGTGAGCGGAGATCGTCGGATACACGTCGGTTATGTGGGTCAGAAAGCGCGGTACGGAGCGAGCGGCGGGGGCGGCCGTTCGCCCCGTCCCGCGCTTTCGCCCTTGGAGGGAGGAGGAGGCGCGAGATAGGAGCGTGCGGGCAGGAGCGGGAGCGGAGGTAAAGCGTGCGAAGCTGGAGGTTGTACCGGTGGCGGCTCGAACTCGGTTGGCGCCGCCCGTTTCTTGCCCGGCTCTGAAGTTGCGCTCGTTGCCGGCGACTGCACTGCTGCTGCCGTCTACGTGAAGCGAAGCGTCGCAGGACGGGACGGAAACAGTAACGATGTAGTAGATGCACAGAATACACCTAAAGCTCGGTACGAGGTGATATTATGCGATAGATAAAATAAAATAAAAAGTAAAGCGTGAGTGCGACGGAAGCGTGACGCGAGCCGGCGCGAACTGAACAAAATAAGCCCGGCGAGCTAAGCGGCGTCGCGGCGAGCGAAACCAAGCGGAAGAATGGAAGCGAGCGCGAACGAGCGAGGCGAGAGCGTGCAGCCTGGTGGCGTACCGCGCCGCGCGCCTGCGCCTTAAGGTGCGCCTGCAGGTGCAGGGGAGGGTGGAAATAGCGGCAGGGGTCTCGGACGCAGCGGCCCTTGACGGCGTCCATGCACACCGTGACACAGCCGTCATCGTGCGCGATGACTGTCGGCGGCGGGTGCGCGAAGCGACACTCGGTCTCGGCACGCTTGCACGCGCCGCGCTGGAACTCCCGGCACACCTGCACCACCACACACCAGCCATGTCTGCCCCCCGCTCTCTAATTGCCCTTTGCCTAGTCCCTACCCCTACCTATTTGGTTATCGACTACAACGCGCTCGCGATCTCAAACTATTAGTAATAATAGCGAATGAATTAAATACGACAATATTCACAAAAACTACTATAATATTATAAATATTTTTAAGTATTAGTCTCGACCGAACGCCGCTTTTCACTAGTGGAAAAGACATTTTGCACAATATTATTTCGTTTAATTTTTAATTCTACAAACCGATTTACGCATCCGTCGCATCTATCTATATGATTATTCTAAATTTATTTTTAATAACGTAATTTTTTTCAATTATTTTAGAACATTCTTAGTACTACTTAAATATTTTTTTTTTAAATTAATTTAGGAATTCCGAACGAATGTAAGGCTTTAATCAGAATCGTCATGATCGACTACCTGCCGACATTTCAGGTCCATCACCATAAGGATTAAGCGAGTGCTGCTCGCAAAGCGCACACGCGATCGCACCTAACAAGTGCGACCGCATTCCATTGACACACGGGACGGGCATAGGGCTCAGGGGCCGATTTTGCTTCGGGGACCGACAATGACTTGTCATATGTATTCGAAAACAATTTTAATAATTTTCCCGACCAAATATCTGCCCATACGTGGCTAAAGTGTCGGTCCCCGGCGAAAGTGGCAACAACATAAAGCATATTTTGCTATTTAGTGAGACTACGAGTGTGGGGATATTTTAAGGAAAACATTGTTACCTCGAGACGATCGGTACGAGGCAATTTCTGTTGCAGCACGGGTTGCTGCATGACACCGAGTGGCGAGGCGGCGGCGGCTGCCGGATCGTGACCCAACATTGCGGGCACCAGCTGAGGTGCATAGTACTGTGCGTACGTCGATCCCACGCCCGGCACCCCCGACAAATAAGGTGACGTCGCCTGCACACATCCACACTGCTCTAAATTCTTTTGTTGCTTCTTGTGCAGACAATTCTCAATGATAATTTATTAACAATTAGCTTATTTTTCAGCATTTATAGCATTCAGAATTGATTTCATCTGCAAAATATTATTATAATCGAAAAATAAGAAAATTTGGCAAAGCCGTGAAAATTTGGTGTTTCATATATCAGCTCCATTGGAAATTAAATAAACGCTTACGAAAGTACCTTTAGCCAAACAAAGCATCCACATGCATAATTAGAAACTAATCGAATTAGGTATTAAATAAGCGTACGGTCTGTCCAATCAAGCTATTCACCGACCACCAGCATGACAGGGATTAGGATACAAAGATAGGACACGTTCATAAAACGGACACAATTTCAAGGATTTATTAATGTACTGATTCGTCTGTTAACTAAAGGACCGGGGGATTATAGGAGGCCGGTGATGGTGCGACGCGACCGGCGATGGCAGCATTACCTGCGGGGCGAGCAGGGCGAGACTGATCGGATCCAGCGTGGTGAGATGACCAGCGGCCGCGCCCGCGCCGCTCATGCCGCCCACCTCGACACAAAACCACACAAACACGCTACTCATCGTGCGAGGGTCTGCCCGCGCTTGCGCCCTTTCATCCTCGACGTGTCTTATAGCAAACATTAAGTTACAACATTCTCTTTTAATTATTATTATTATTATTCCGCGCCTATTTATGTTAAATGTTATTGAGCCTGTATTGATGTTGAAACGTCGAGGAGTCAAGGGTCACTATATTAGCGACAGTGTGAACGGTGAAAGTGGAGGAGATGTTTCGGTGATTAATCTGCATACCGCTTATCCCAAATTCAAACATTGTGAGTATATTTAGAGTAATAGTCATGCGACTTTAGGAAAAAGTACATGCGTAAGCAGTATAGAGCGATCGGCCATATGGCGAGATTTAAGTTGTGCCACTATTATTAAATTAGTTTCTATAATCACAACATATCATTGTCGTTTCAATGCCACTTCTGAATCGAAGCAAGTTCTGTAACCGACGTTGATGTTTCGTTGACATTACTATGAGGTCTCGTTGTTGGAAATGCGTCGTAAAAGTCGTTTAAAACATGATGTGTTTGTACGGTTACATTAGTATACTAAAAGGACCTACTTACATAAACGAATTCAAAGCTACCTACGCACTATAAGGCACAACTTAAACTTTAATACTTCATAATTCTACGTGTTCATAATTATGTAAAAAAGTAGTTAGCGAGTACACCGAAAGCTGCGTGTTGCGTGCAAAGAACGCCTACTATTTCGAGGACCGATCGCTCAAAGCATTGAATACTTGAAGGATAGGATAAATTACTCACCACGGCGGGCACCTGACCGGGCAACACTTGCCCGGGTGTCAGACCCATTTGCTGCATTAGTGCGTTCTTCAGGGCTAGATGATTCCTGCCGTTGATCAACAGCTGATCCTTCAGGTGTTGTGGCGGATGGAAGTATTTGCAGGGTGGCTTCTCGCGGTTACACCGTCCCTGGAATAACGTTCATAGAAAATTTAAATCCATGTTTCTTACGAGCTCTTTTTTTACATTCTTCAAAACAATTATTTAAATATGATAACCTTGAAAATGTTGCGCTAAAATGACAGACTTAATATGAATTTACGATAATGACATGTAATATTATTAGATTATTAATCGAAAATCTGTTGACCGCTTGTAGTTGAAAAGGTTTTGATACGATATTTCAGTTTGTCTATTATCATTAAAATATATTCCTATTTAAAACAATACAATATTTAAACAAATTCGACGACCAAAACGTAAAAATTCGAAAATATACGAGGTAAATTAAATTTCATAATACATAAATAGACGCATTTAATGTACTGTTTTTATTTACCTAATATGGACAAAATCTTGTGAATCCTAGAAGACATCCCTATGTATACTGTCATAAAAAAAACATTATTTTCCGATAACTAACTGCCTGGAAGAAATCGTCGCAAAAGATAAACACTGTACATTATTTTACAGGGCGTTTAACCTCCGAGCAAATTTGCTCTAATTTTCAACATTAATGACGATCAAGATAGTCGTTTTATCAATAGATATCCAGTAAATCCGCGTATAATTAAATTGTATTCGAACAATCTAACATAAGACTACACAATAATCCGAATTTCTTAACATTTCAGTATAGCATGAGTGAGCGTTTTATAAAGGACTAGCGGCCCGCTCCGACTCCGCTCGGGTATTTAACAAAAATTTCAACTATATTTAATTTTGACGTTGTTTTATTTTTTAAAATAAAAGAACCCTTATTGCGTCATAACTATAATAGTCAGACATATGCTGCCGCGACACTTTTTGTAAATAATAATGTGTTCTACAAAATCGTAGTACATTATTTTATTTTGTCATCAATAGTTTTCGCAGGGCACGCGATGTAAAGAATATTTTAGGTATTTTTTTTTTACACCTTGGGTTACATTATTGGAGTTTTAGTAAGGATCCTTAATTTTTTTCAAAAAAGATTATAGCCTATGTCACTCGGGAATAGTATAGCTTCCAAACAGTGAAAGAATTTTTCAAATCGGTTCAGTAGTTTCGGAGCCTATTCAATACAAACAAACAAACAAATCTTTCCTCTTTATAATATTAGCATAGAAAAGAAAGTGAAAAGCGTTTATCGCAGTAACAAAAAAAAAGACGTACACAAACAAACCCGGTTTGAATATTCAACACTGAGCTGGGGACTCGGCTACTGATAATGTCCGCGAACGGGGTCGGAGTGATTTACTGAGTAACTTTTGTACAGTACGATGTTATCAAAGTACCTCTACCTCTCTCTACATAAACATTACGTCGGCAAAAAGTTGGAAGACGCATTGGATCGAATCGCACAGAAATCACATGCAGATGTGTGTGTGTGTGTGTGTGTGTGTACAAAATTTTCTCAGTTATTAAACTATGACGATGCTTCCTACAATAAACTCGAAGCAGCCGACTGTATTTAGATTAAGTTGTTACTGGCAGACATAATGTTAGTCGGTCGGTCCTCTGGCTGTTCAAACTCGGAATAAACTTATTATATCCTGTTAGTCGGTGCCGTTTGCATTAGCCGAGTTTCAATTCAAAGCGATCCGTTTATGAATTTCGAATGGAGGCATCGTTTTTAACTGTTACCATTATATTTTTAACGTGTCGTATCTTACTCAGGCTTATTAATTAAAAGCCATCTCTTAATTTTAGAAATAATACTGATTGAATTTTTATTAATAAGAAAATAAATAAGAAAAACATTGAAGCTACAAACAATTGTTAATTTTTTTTTTTTTTATTGCTTAGATGGGTAGACGGACTCACGCCTCGTTTGGTGTTAAGTGGTTACCGGAGCCAGTAGACATACACAACGTAAATGCCACCAATCACCTAAAGACATGAGTTCTAAGGTCTCCGTTTTTACAGTACCACAGCTGCCCCACTACCATACAAGCCGACACGCATTACTGCTTCATAGCAGGAATATGTACCAACCGGTGGTACTTACCCGTGCGGACTCACAAGACGTTCTACCACCTATTGTTTCTTATGCCTCCTGCAGCGATGGGTTAAGTAGCTAAACTGTTTTGTAATTATATTATCTGTGCTATTCTCATATTTGCAGGCGTACTGTTCTGCACAAAATGTATTTGATATTGTGATATTTTAACCGTGAAATTTATGATCAAAGCCTCAATAGCGTCAGAATCCATTCTGTCCTTTCGAGCTGTTTAATTTGATTGTCCACTAAAACCACCACTACGAGTAAAAAAGTGACATCTCAAAAATATGCCGCAAAGCTTCAAAAACTATGTATTTCTTTAGTAACAAAAAAATCTTGAATAACAAAAACAAAAGTTACGTATTAAACAAAATAAAACTTTCAATATCCTCTGTTTGTTCGGGTTACGTAACGATCGAGAGGAGTCCAACTCGGGGCAATAACCGCCCAAAACTAATAACATTTTTGTGTGATAGCAGGGAAGCGAACCGAACACCGAACCACCCTCGACGTTTCTCTTATACCAACAACGTACACTTGCACAATGCAATAAAAGATAACCGAAACGTCAAGAAGAAATTCATTACTTTCCATTCTTTTAGTGTCATCTATATATTAATAGGTGAAGCAAAACTTTGTATCCCTTTTCACGAAAATTGCGCGGACGGAGGAGTATGAAATTTTCCACACTTATAGAGAATATAGAGAAGAAGTGCACAATGCTAATATATTTTTTTAAATAATGCATAAAAGATTCATGAAATCAATAAAGAAAACATTACACACACTACATACCATGTATTTGACGCACACAAGCATGCATACTATTTATTGTCAAACTGAGAATAGATTAAATATTGTTTGTCTTTATTAATATTTTTTATAGTGTAGCCTTGACGAAATTTGTGATTATAGAAGTATAAAATACAATCATAATAGTGTACAAACTTACAATTCCAATTAATTTTAGTCGAATTTTGACTACTGCGGGACGGACCTCTAGTTTCATAAATTTCTGACTGAGTCATTTGAAATAACAAAAATGGAAATCCGTAACTTGGCACCTATACTAAAAAGAACTGCACTTAAGCGACATCAATGAACTGAGACGCTCATATCTCGTTACCGTGAGAGCATTAAAGCGCCAAGTGCACTCTGCAATTGTAACGTGTATAACGAACGGGGCCCTGGTTCAGAGTATACTGGCGCGTGCCGACAACCTCGTCGCTCTTGCCAAAATCAAATAAAACACTAGTCTAGTACCTATAAAAAGCAATTAATTTTAATTGAGATACCTTTTTCTGAAACGATTCTGATTTCCACCTGATGGTCGTCCGGACGAGATTGGTCTTCGCCATAAGACCGCCCATTGTCTTTTGTATTTAATGATTTGCATTGGATTTTTTTTTGCCTTGAGAGGCTATTTCAGCGTAACCTTAACTAGTAGGTGAGCTCACGGGGATCAAACCGGAGTGATGCTAACACTGACCCTAGCAAGAGCAGTGCTTCGCAGAATCTACCACCGGATCGGAAACGCGACCCACTGAGAAGATCCGGCGAGAAACTCAGTAGGCTGTGTCTAATTCGCTCGTCGAGCCCTTCGTCGCGAGCCACGGGTTCGACGAGGACGGTGACCGGTGCTTGTGGTACCTAAAAGCACCGTTAATGGATCGGGAGGATCCGTAATGACGTGTAAATTGGCATTATTGTATACCATAAGCATACACAACCTACTCTACTAATTTTCGGAACTGCAAACAAACTATAAGTATTTTACTCACGAGTGTACCTATTTCTTATTAAACATTATGTATGCGGCAGACGCTATTAATCAAACGATGTCCTGTAACTAAACAAACAAATAAGTAGAGTCGTTTGCGAAGAACGCACAATATGCGAGCCACGTGGTCGTTAACCGATTAGAACGTTCGATCAGATTGATGGATTGGCGGCACGCTGTCGTCGGAGCGCGGTCAACCGTACGCGCACGCCGCGCCTAGTCTTTCATCTATTCCACTATTGGCCGAACACGTGCCTCGACCAATTGACACGAGGAAAACAATGAGCTAACGAGCCGATGAATGACACGACCCCGCGCGATCTGACCCGGAGTCCACTTGTACGCGTGAATATGGCTGCCAGAAATATTTGGGGGCAGACGGGAATAGAACCGACCGGTATACTGTGCCAACAACCAGATGCGTTAGAGATAGACGGTGGAACACCTACGACACGTGGATCCTCGAGTCTATAAATAAATTTCAATTTCATTCTCTGAAGCGAATCATAAGCTTTTTAAAGTAATAATGACCACTGAGGAGATGTTAATTTTAATCGAACTTATTTATATTGTTATTTTATAATAGACCTTTGATTAAAATAAACAAGGCGGTAGGTTAATATTACAAGCATAGGTATGTAAAGAGACAAAAAATAAAGCAATAAATATAAAAAAAGATATCCTCGAATAAGGTCGAATGTCCCGATGGAGTTGATTATTAAAGGGTTCTTCCAGGATCGAAATACAAAATCGTAGGTAACACGATCACAATGTAAGATCCGGCCCCAGATGCCGCAATATTTTTTTTTGGTGTAAGTTAAAACGGAGGAAAGGTGGAAATCTAATTTGCAAAATTTTGTGGTCGGGAAGGGAATTAGGTAGGCAAGCAAAGTCAATTCCGAAAGTAAGTAGAATTTGAATTTAAAATGATTTATAGAGGCGCTAGGGAGTGGCTAATGAGGCGTCATGCGAGAGGGGCGCGATTACGCCTCGCAGGTGCGTATTTTTTACACAGCGGCCTCTTGACGGCCGACTATGGCGTTCGATACGCCGTAACTAACATGTTGATGACGTAATGTTGAACACGCCTACAATCCAATAAACACATCACTACTACAATATTATGTAAGAATAGAAACTAAATATTTGAGGTATAAAGATTTTCGTATTGCAGAGAATACTACAGTAAGTCCACGTTAAGTGGTT